ATATATATATATATATGTAGATGTCAGCAAGACAATGTCCGATGAAACCCATGTGCAGTTCAAGCTAGCCACACAAGGTTTGGGAAAAGTTGCAGAAAGCCGTAGGTGCCGGAGTTCAGATAGTGGGGAGCAAGGGCACTCGACTCTGGACTAGATGATGCGATGGTGCCGAGCGACTACGGCTGCGTACGGCGACTGCTGCAACTACATTCCGCGCTGCTGCTACAGCTATTGCCACTGGCCACCACTGCTACTGCTACTGCACTGCTAGGGTTGCGACCAGTAATCCTAGCAATGATCACAAGAATAAACATCGTTATCCGTTCTCTGACTGTGACTGTTGCTGTACATAAAGGAGGAGTAATTGCCGAAGTGTTGTAAGTACAGTCAGATGTGGCCAGGGCTTCCAGAGCTCGCCTTAGCGCGGCTCCGTCTTTCCGAAGCAGCGACGGAAAAGGCTCTGCTCGGGAACGCAGGCCATTCGGCGGATCTGAGATAAGAGGGCTTGGGGTTTAGGGGGAAGTCAGATTCAAAACCGGGCTAGGTGGGGGGTTACAGTAAGGGGACCTGTAGGGTGTTTTCAGGGTGTTGGTAGGATTTTGGGGCTCAGGGGCTGTGGACTTTCTACAGCGTTTTGGCGAAGGCTTTCGTCGTGCTCCCTGATATACAAGCCTCAGCTTGTCATTACAGCAGTGCCATGGAGGGGCAGGCTTCAACCGTCAGGGTGAAGAGTTCTGCTTGAAGTCCCTAAGCCCTAACCCCTAAACCCTAAACCGATGGCAGCTGGCCTTGAAACGACTCTACCTTTTGAGCTTCTGCTGAAATGGCTCAGCCCGAGAGTGGTTGACGAAGACCCCCATTCCAGAACGGTTTAGGGTTTAGGGTCTAGGGTCTAGGGTTTAGGGTTCAGGGTTTAGGGTCTAGGGTTTAGGGTTTAGGGTTTAGGGTTTAGGGTTTAGGGTGCAGTCGAACAGCCATCGTGGCGCTGCTGCTGCCATGAAACTGCTACCACCAATGCTGTTGCTATTGTTCGTGCGACGAATATGACGACGGATTATTCCTGCCATGGGCTTAATTTCAATTTCTGACTAGCCAGGATAGTCTCATTTTTTGTTCCACGGCGAATCCAAGGTGTCACACTCACGCAGGAGGAGATCTTAGCCAAAAGTGGCTTGGACAAGAGCCCCCTGGCTTCAAAAGCCTAAATATGAGATCTAGCCCTGGCTTCAAAAGTCTAAATATGAGATCTAGACCTGCGCGAACAGCCTTTGAGAGAAGATGCTCTGCCATCGGGTCGGGGCCTTTCGCCTTGATCCTTCATTTCAGAGGCACCGCTCTAAGGAGTGAGCTGAGTTCATCTTGCGCGACTATTGTTGGAGGGGGCCCCCATCATTAGGTACTTAGGTTTCGGATAGTACTTATGTAGGTTGCTGTTTGGGAGAGTATATGACCATTAGGTACCCCAATTTGCGGAAGTCGCTCTGAAGCCAAACTACGCCTTAATCATGCCCGACTCTAAAGCCTACACGGCGGACGCCATCCAGGCGAACGAAGCGGGGAGTTCGTCACAAAAACGCACCAGACCCTGTACGCTAAATTCAACCCCGCAATATTAACCCCAATCCCCACGAAGCATTTCCCTGAACCCTATTCAAAACCCTAAACCCTAAACCCTAAACCCTAAACCCCAAACCCTACCGTCCGCACAGGCTTTGCCGAGGGCTTCGGCCGTGCCCTGAGCAATCGAACGGTAGCAGCAGCCGAAGCAGTAACAGTGCAGTAGACGGGAGTTTCAGAAAATTAGGGTACCTTATTTAGGGTCCCCTACTTTCGGAAGCCCCCATGTAGCATTGCAACAAGAGTTATGGTGTCCATTTAGGGTTTAGGGATTACCTAGACGGATGTAAGAGTGCAACAAGTTAATGGTGTCCATTTAGGGTTCAGGGATTACCTAGAAGGATGTGAGACTGCAACAAGAGTTCCATTTTAATGGTGTCCATGTAGTTAATGGTGTCCATGTAGGGTTCAGGGATTACCTAGAAGGATTACTATACGTGGCATTGGGGGGGCATAAACTAAGGAGAGAGGCCTTCAGAAGCAGGATCGGGGTTTGGAAGCGTTATTATACTAGAGCATACTTGGTGTTATAAGGGAGAGGAGCTGAGATTGCTCCGACCCGTGTATGATGAGGGCTTCAGAACAACTCGGAGTTCCCTTTCATGAATCCATGAATTAAACATCCCACTGGTCCAAGACCCTAAACCCTAAACCCTAAAAAGCTACTGTCTCCCCATCCAACTTGAGACACGCTGACAACAAATTGAAACTGACGTTCAACCCTAAACCCTGAAGACTGAACTTTTCTGAGAAGATGGCCTCCGATCGCCAGCAACAAGCCGATGCACACAGACACCTTGGAGCACGTCTTTCCACAGCAAGCCATGGCTGCTGGTTTAGGCGGCAGCAAACTCGGTTGATCTCGACACTTCAAAAGGGCTGAGGAGACATGCATCGGCGCTATCTGCGATGCAGACCTACGGTCTTAGGTTTAGAGTTGAAATCGCCGTAAAACTCTAATGCTTAAACCATGCCCTCGCAAGCTACTCAACCTCATCCCCAGAACGAAAAACACAAAACATGTTTCAACAACTTCATGCCCGAATGACATCAGGATCTGTCAGCTACTGTTGCCCATTGCCGACAACGTCTAGCCGTTAGAAAGTGAGTCGGTATCAGCTATCAGTTAATGTTAACCAGAAAGCAAACTTCTCGACAGGCAGACAAATGTCTACTTCTGCAACAACGTGTGACATTGCTCGGATCTCTTCAGACAAGTATGGGCAAAGATGTTCTGTATATCAAACCCTGCAACACAAGTTCGCCCCTGCACATGGATTCTGCAACTGTGTATATCTTCGTCAATAAGGGCTGGCAGTGGCAGTAGCCATGGAACAGCGCCTTTTTCACACGGTTGAAACCTTGCCAGACAGCCAGCTCAGTCGCAGCATTCGGAGCCTGAGCTTCGTCTTGTCTTGGGAGTCCGGGAAGACTCGATTGCAAAGCCCTTGCGCATGAAGCTAAGATTTAGGGTTTACAAGGCCTTGCGATCCACCCCCTCCTGGTTTGCGGTCAGGTGAATGCTTGGTTGTCACTCAAGCCCGATGAGAGACAGGGTCTTCTGCAAAATGGTTTGGCTAGGTTTGGTTTCGTGGTGGTGGTGGTGGGTGTAGTGGTGGTGGTGGTGGTGGTGGTGGTGGTGGTGGTGGTGGCGGCGGCGGGGGTGGTGGTGGTGGT